GGGCAGACAAGCCCTTGGAAACGTAGCCTCCCTGTTCCCCTGCCCTGCGCTCTCGCTGAGCCGCTTTCCTGCAGTTCTTTGGGCAGCATTTCCATAGTTTTTACTGCTGCCCTGCAGCGGCCCTGGTGCCGACCCCTGTGCTGTGCTGGCGCTGAAATGCCCGGATGGGTTCCGGGGTGCAAGGAACGGCTGCTGCAGCCGGGGTTGGGGGGCTTGGTGAGCGTCGGGGGATGGGAACTGGGCTGTGAGCATTCGGGATGGCACGGAGCTGGGCGGGGCTGGCCAGGGAGCAGGAGGAGAGGAGATGTGTGACCTGAATATGGATGGGAGCTGCTGCCGGCTTGGTGGGAGTGAAGGCGGAGCGGAGATGGGGGAGGGGGCTGCTGAACCCTTTGTTAGGAGGTGCTATCTTGTTATAGCCCCCCTGCTCCCCCCAGCCCCTTCCCCTTTTCCCATCACTCAGCCCCCAGCAGCCTTGGGGTTGGTTGGTGTAGTGAAATGCAAGCCCAGGATGATTCCTGGGGGTCGGGGTGGGGGCTGCGCCTGGGCTGGGCAGAGCTGGCCCCCTGGCCTGGCTCGGCTGGGCCTGGCCTATGTTGCTGCCCAGGAGATCTGTGCACAGGCCCAGGGGGTGTCAGGCAGCCAGGTACAGCCCCCAGGAGCCTGCCTTGGGGAGACACCAGTGGGCACCTGGGCTGGTCTGAGTCACCGTTGCCCCCGTCTCTTCGCTGCGTGTGGGTGGCAATGGAGGTGCCCACGTTCCTGTCCCTGCCAGTTCGGGGTGCCAATCGCTGCTTGATGGGTCGGCTCCTTTACTAAGAAAAGGCAAATAATCCCAGTCCACCAGATTTACTGAGCGTGGGCCAGATCAGTGAGCACAAATACAGAGAGAGGGGCTAAATCTTCCCCAAGCCAGGGCTACGGACAGCATTGGGATGCTGCTGAGGTGTCTGTCTGTCTACACACACCTCTTAGCCTGTTACCGTGGGCACAAAGTCCCCCAAATGACTTGGTCCTAGTACTTCAGTTCCTGGGCATTCTGCCCTTGCTGTCCCGGGCTGTTGGAAATCCGCGCTGTTTTTCGCAACAATTCTGTCTGTTTTTATTATTGTCTCAAACCTCAGCACAGTTCTCTGCGTGCCCCCAGAACAGAAGCGTCCGCGTGGTTTTTAATGTGGCTCGGTACAGAGATGCTGGGGACAAGGGCTCGCTTTAGCAGAAGTCTGGATTCTCTTAACACCTAATATTGGCTGAATAATTCTGGTCCCAGCGCTCTCCGGCCCCGTCCCTGCGCCAGGACATCCGGCTGCAGGGCAGCGAGGGAGGGGTCTGTCTGGGACAAGCTGCGAGCCGGGGTATTCCGGCAGCTCCTGGGAACCCCGCTGCGACCCGGTGCAGAGAGACCCTGCCCCCGAGCAGTGCCCATTTCCCGTAGGTGAGGCAGACAGAGGCCCCTTCTCCCCATCTTAGCGCTGGGGGAAGAGGGGCTTCGCCCTGGCCCTCGCCGGCATCGCTAGCAGAGCCACGAAACCACCCGCCCCACAAAACCGAGTTGCGGCTCTTGGCCGACTCTGCCCCGTGAGGTGTAGCGAGCGTGAGGGTCTCGGCCGAGCTGACTGGATTTCTCCCCCTCTCTCTGCAGTTGAGGATGACGAGGATGCTGCCGTCGACAGAATTGCGTAAGTTCCTGGCTGTCCTTCGCCCCTTCCTGTATTGACGCACTTCCCACCCAGCATGCTGGGACAGAGATCACAGCCTGAGCAGGGGGTGGGGCTCAGGACTCCTGGGTTCTAGCCCCAGCTCGGGGGGAGGGGAGGGCCAGCGGCTAACGCGTCTCTCCCTGAGGCACGGGCTGGTTTGAGTCTCACTGGGCTGCTCTGCGCGCTGAGACTTGGCAGAACTCGCGTCACCGGCTGCCTCGGGGCGAGGGGCGGCCGGCACTCGCCCCGGGGTGCTGCCTGCTCAC